TTACCCAGCGGTTCTGGTACGCAAGCACACGACCAATGTCGCGTGAGTCCTTCCAGGCACCTTGGGCATCAGGGATAAGGATACCACATTTGATTCTTTGTGGTATCTCTGACTGTTTCTTAATAGTCAGCGAGGTGTTGGATTTGAGGTCGAGGGTATTAATATTCCTCTTCAACCAGTCCAGAGCCTTCTGGTCATTGCACCACAGCATAAGGACACCCTCCGTGTAAGCGGGTTTGCCTCTAAAAACCGGGCCCGACGCATCAGGGTCCTGGTTACTCCAGGCCTCGCTGATCATCTTCTTCTGTACGGCCACGAGGATGTCATCAGCTACCTCCTTTGTATGTGACCTGAACGCGCACACGTTAAGGCCACACCCAAATCTGCTTTAGCAGCAGAAGCGTAGCTTGTTCTTGCAGCCGTTGCTTGCTGTTCAAGTCGCACTTTTTTGTGCTCTCCTCTCGGCGAGGTGGACTCCTCCAGCAATCTTTTGGCTGCTCTTTCCTTCTTTCCAGGACGTTTGGCTGCTTTCTGGTTCCTGGCGGATTTCTTAGAGCTGGTTCCGGCGGCCGTGCCTACTGCTCGGGCTGGATTTTCATCCTTCACAGTTTCAGCACGACTACTGGTTCCAGCCCCAAGCACCGCAGTAGCAGTAGCTTGCCCAGCTCCCTGAGTCTTGCTCTTGGAAGCAGCGAGCGCGGCTCTTTCTCTGCGGCCTTTTTCTCGCTGCTTCTTATTCTTCTTTTTGACCTTTGTGCTACTGCCTGCTGGGATACACCCACCTGATGATGCGCCGGGTCGGCAAGTCTTGCTCATTTTTCTCGTCCAGCTCCTTTGGAACTGGATTTAGAGACATCCAGCGCGGAAATTGTCCCCTTGGTGGGGCCACCTATGCTGGGTGGTACAGTCAGTGGAACGGCCAGTTTAACGGCGGTTCCTTCTGGTTTATCAGTGTCTAAGGTAAACACCTCTGACACTTCTCCCTCTCTACTAATGGGCCTTGTGTTGTCCATAGTTTTCGATATGTGTAATAATTCGTCCCCCCGGCTTCCCACCCTCCATGGAGCCCGCACCTTTGGGAATGCCCTACTTTATTAAAAGAATTTCAGGCGTTAGGATTACCGGGGGAATATAGAGACTCAGAGTTGGCTCACAGCACGACATTGGGAGCTCGATCCAGCTGGCAGATAGAGCTGAAAAGGCCCATCCCCACTGCTCGAGTTGACTTTCACTTGCCCCGTCAGCATGGCCTTTACCACCACCTAGCCCTTTTCAGGGAGACTAGGCAGCCCCCACATCCCTCGCCTGCGACCCTCTGACGGGACGCTTGGCCATTTCCTTATCTTTGGCTAGCAGATAAGGCCACCGTTTAGCTTGAAATCCGGACCAAAGAGGGCGTGTTGCCTCTCGACACTATATACCCCAGTGACGATCGGCTCAACTAACAAAATCTGCAGGACTCCTTCATCTCCGCATACGGCGCTCAACTGCGCAGGTCCTAGCGCAGGTGGGTGTGTTAGTCCACCGGATACACCCACTCTCTCCGGCGGAACCGTTCCCTCCTCTTTTCCGGGCTTGGGACCGGCAGCAACAAAAAGCATTGACAAAGTTAGTTGCCCGTGCTTCCTGTTGCAGGCAGAGTTAAAAGCCGTGGTAGCTCAGAGGGTTAGCGTTCGCTGTCAATTTTACAATACGCGAGCAAACCGGATTCAATCCCCGCCAGCACCAATAAATTGGTAATTTAAACAGTTTTAAGTGCTGATTTATCACGTGCTCGGCGGTGAAGGAAAACATAGTGAAGAAACCTGCATGTCTGAGAAATAACAAAAAAAATATTTCGGAGACATGTGATGTTCGCCAACACGCATTGGGGCAGCGCGGCGGACACTTCCTTGTCCTAAAACCCTCTCAGAAATGGGAGGCCTGTGCCCAGCAGTGAGACATATATAGGCTGTAACTTTACTTTTTTTTACTTTTATTTAAACATATTTATAACTTTTTATGCAGTAGAGCTATGCTGCAGTTCTATTAGTGGTATAGTTATAGCACGAATGGGTCATCTCGACCGGAGAAGGACCACACTCTCACAGAATACCAGTATAAAATAGTAGCTTAATGCTGCTGTGTTTCGTATGGTGAGTGTAGAGAACCGGAGACCCTTTTTACTGGAAACGAGATCTTAGTTCCCATGGGTGACAATGCTTCTGCATTTTGATTTGTAATCGAGGATAGATGTAGATGTCTACAAGGCCATATAGATGTCTAGATGGCCACAGCAACCACTTACCATCAGGTGGACTGTGTGCTCGTTTGTCACCCTAACCTATAAAAAAACTGGTGACCCGCCCCGGACTCGTCTCGATAAGATCTATTAATGTGCCATTATTTAGATTAAACATACAATCAAAGACCATTTATTTTATCTATTTTACATTATTTCCAAAATAAAATTAAGTTAATCCTTATAACGTCGGCTATCTGCCAGTGAAAGTCCTGTTAAAATCGGTGCAGCCATTAGGGAGATTAGCCGGAACAAACAGATAGACATACAAAAGTTTTAAAAATGGTTTTTATTTTTGTTATAAGTATCATATAATATACTTTAGTATGCATTTAGTAAAAAGCTGTTATTTTGACGTTACAAACAGACCCTTCAATTTTATTTATTTGTATAGATATATAAACACAACCTTTAACATTGGCTCTACAAATTTCAGGAGGCGGCAGCAACTGGATGTACGAGATTAGATTTCCACGTTCTAGCGTGGAACGAAGCTCGCTCTTTTTATGAAGCGATGGGTGCGGAAAACTTGACAGCCAGTCAAGAGTGGTGCTACTACCGACTGTGGGGAGATGCTCTCACATCAGTATCTAATAAAACAGTGACGCACAGTGCTTAGATATGTATTTCATATTACTACACAACTTTTGTACACATTTTTTATTGTTACATCACTAAAAAGGATGAACAAAATTATCTCTGGAAATATACAATTGATTACATACAACAAAAAAATTGCGATGTTTAAGCAGTAAATTGGAACATTTTTATAAAGCAATATAAAGTTTAATGATAATTAAGCCTCGAATTTCAAATAAAATCTGTACTACAATATAAACTATGGATCTTTGTGTAGCTAACGATAGCACTGTTGTGTCAAGGCTAATGTGGAATACAATAATTTAATTTTATTTGTAACTGTACTGAACAATTACAAATAAAATTCAATTATGTATAATATTTTGATAATATAGAAATATTTTTATAACAATGCTGTGATAAAGTTATAACCTGTGCAAGAGTTACACTAAATATTGTTAAACGCCTGAATATGATTTCTCTCCGCTCTTTAATAAGTACTATTATTTACAACTAATTATAAATGCCATTTATTTTATTCCTTATATTATATCTATGATATTCCTACTCAGTATGTGAGTGGGTGGATATTAAAATTATTTTAAAAATTACAGATCTCGTGCTACCACGACGTTTTTTTATGTGGAACGTAAACTACTAACTACTTAGTAGTTTACGTTCCAAATAAAAAAACGTTTCGTCTTCTCTGGCTTGAAAAAAAATTTATGAAAGAAAATCTGGTTCGAAAACTTATGATTGCTTTGAAGTTGTTTTACGTCTTAAGCTACCAAATGAATAGCTGGTTATAAAAAATGGGAACGAAACATTTCTTAAATATGTAGTGTGTATCGGCCGTTAGTTTATTAGGGAATATTACGAACAATCAGTGTATTTGAATACTGTTGACACTTATTAACTAATACTTATATTGAACCTCAATATCAAATTGTTAATATATTCCATGACTTGTACAATGCAAAAAAATAGTTGATGGTGTTGCATGTCCGATTGAAATAAAACAACTTAATCTATCAACTATTGTTTTTTCAGCTGTGGAAATGTTACAAACTTGCAATTTTAATCTTATTTACTTATTAGACGTTACTCTATTAATATATAACATTAATTGTTGTTACAAAATTAATAAACTCCATTGTTATGAATGACGTGAATTTATTGTAACATTAAATAATTGTTAGTGTTACTATAATGTTACATTTTAAACATAAAAGGAATTATTAGACTAGTGCGATAGTCGGAGGAACTTGGCTATTAAATTTGTAATACTTGTATTAATATGTTAAATAACAAGTTACACAAGATATATTCGCTAGTTGTTATTGGAAGATAATCATTACATCTAACTATTTATATCATGTACAAGTACATAAACGACAACCTATTCAGTCGAGAATTCACTTAAATATTTACAAATTAGTACTAATTCCATGTTAGCTAAAACAGCACAATATAACAAACTTGACCCGCTAATCTAGACCTGGCGTAATCAGCAGTTCTCGAAATTTATTTCTACAGTATAATTATACAATAATTTTATAATCTGCGTCCGCAACGGATATTGACAAAGGGGGACAGGCGCAGAAGAGCTAGAACCCAGAGCCGTAAAGCCAGTTAATAAAAAATAAATGACAATGGGGGGATGATAATCTTACGCTCACCAGATGTCGCTGATTGCGGCTGAGGTGAACATATTTGATACGCAGATAGTCACACTATGTCATCATCATTGAAAAGAAGTTCTTCTACTATTAGGAATATATGTAGTTTTGTTTATCCATTTATCGTCTAATTAATATAACAAATTAACTTCCCGCGCTATAGAATCTGTGAAATATTTCACCTCATTAAGTAGCGCAGTCCTGGTGGCAGAAAAGTGGGATTTCCTCATTAGTGAGAACACTAACTTGTCTGAGATTGTTCTTATTTTTCACACAATAATAGTCCATTCACTGTTGGCATTACCGAAGCCTTAAGTCATGCCAAGCTCTTTATGTTTTCTCAAAGAACAACCGCTATATAATCTGTAGTCGGTCCATCTTCCACGCAAGTACTACTTATCGACAGACAGGCATGGAATTTGGGTCTTCCGAGTCACTTTCTAGGGTGTTGTGTTTTGTCGCTACGTGGACGCCATGAGTTTTGCGTGTGCAGTCACGTTACGTTGGTGCAGGAATCCGCTGCCTTCCTCTTCCTCACTATTGCCTAATCCATACTGTAAAGAATAAAACAATATTGTTAAAAACAAATAAAATTGATGGACTGTGTTTCTGGTCAAGTTTTGTTCGGCTAACAATCAGAAGTTATATGCGTAAACATTAAACAAATAAGATACAATGATATCCTCCTGGCCTATAATCAACTTATCTGTCTGGGAAATTGGCTAACTCGTATTAACCAATATTAATTTGAAAATATTTTTCTTAGATGCTGTTGTGAGGGTCCTACAGTCCTAATAGTACTGAAATATCTAAACCGGCTATAAGAGTCATAGTCGACGGTGCTGGATGTTTAGTACTACGATCACTAATTCTCCAGCGTGGTAATTATGCAAATCCTTGGAGTAGACCCACATAAAACAATGTGCTACATACTTATTTTACTGACTCATAAAGGAAAAACTCGTCTAAGTAGGAACAGGATATCCAGAATTTAATATAGAATTGAGAAATAACTTTCAAAATGTCAATAAATTTAATTGTAATTATTCTGTGAATGCTAGTGTGGCCGTAGAAGGAAAAGGGAAGATCTCCCGCCGGGCAAGGTGTTCTGCACCGGGAGCGGCCAATACTCCGTGTGATAGTTCGGAGATGTTCTATATATACTGTTTATGATTCGAAATTTCGAGTCATAATATATTTGAATTTCTGCCTGACATGAAATTCTATAAAATTGTCATAAATAATTAAATACTATAATTTGTTTTGAGCATGCTACTGTAAAAAGTGACTCAAAACGTAGACTTACAATTTTGAAATTTACAAGTGGTGTCAAAATTTTATATGTTACGTGAGTATAATATAGTCAATTTCTATGAACTCAAAAATTCGTTTTTGTGTCGGGGGCGCGGCCGGGGGGCGGGGGGTGGGCGGTGCCCCCCCTTTTGGTTTGGGGGGTTTCGCAAAAAAAAAAAAAATGAACTCAAACTACAGGCTTGTTTACATAGAAGGTTCTATGATACGATAGCTCTTCATCAGTCATTTAAATAAAAAAGGGTCAAAAGGGCGACGTTTTATCTATACGTGCCATTTTGACAGTTTATTTTGGTCGATGTTAGTATTGTCCAATATAATGCGCGAACACTACACATTGAATAAAACCACTTATACGGATTTCAGTGCGTTTAATTTACTTATTTTTAACTTACTAGGATGCAGTAAAGCACCTAAAACGTCAGGATTTAAAAGTAAGTTAATTAAACGCGATAAAATCCGTATAAGCGGTTTTACTCAATTGTATAATGTAGTTACTTTTTAAGTCGATTTTTCGAAATGTTTTCAATTATTGCCAATACTTGTTTGATTAAAACTACTTTTACGGATTTTATTGCGTTTTATTTATATTAATTGTAATACCCGACGTTTCGATTGCTTTCCAGCACCCATGGTCACGGGGGCTGAGGTGATTGACGTCCCGATGTCAAAGTTAACCCGGAGTACCTTCAGCTTTTTAATTATTGTCTTTGGTCCGATCTACGCAGAATGAACTAACTGTATTTTGAAGTCTTGCAGTGGTATGCATGGGTTTAGTTTTAATTTTATTAATTATAGGATCCCAAGCAGGTGGTAGTACCCAGCCTCCTTCTCTATTGAAATTAAGATGTTTTTTAATTTCAATAGCCTCACGTATCATCCTTGGTAGGAATCGATCTTCTTTCGCGAGGATTTGTGGTCTATCAAATCTGATGTAATGGTTGGGGCCATCTAGAATATGATCGCAAACTGCAGATTTCCCGGAACGTTGATGCTTCCGGTATTAAAATTAATATAAATAAAACGCGATAAAATCCGTAAAAGTAGTTTTAATCAATGTATAGTGTTCGCGCAAATATAAGAATTCAATACTTGTTTGCTTTTTTTTTTTCTTATTACCTATATTATAGTATACGTATAGGTACAACTTTGTGTTTTTGCCTCTGTCCTCTTAGTTTTGGTTTTATAGGGCGGCAAAGCTTAAAGTGACCATGATACCCGCACGTACCTTACAGCAGAATGATTGAGTGTCAGAGTCGGCAAGGCAAGGGACATATACACGGGGCACAAGGAGCAATAACACTATAATAACCCCACTGACGTTGAAGTTGTTGAATAAATGGCGATATATTATAATAAAGATGGGTTAAATTTACGTAAGAGAGAGGATGAATAGAATAGAATTAAATATAAAAATTAACATCATATCAGTACAACATAACATTTAATATACTTTATTCTGTTCTATTATCTATATATTCAAAAAAGATTCCAAATAATTTTTATTGGAAGTCATGTCGGAGAATCTTATATTATCACAAAAAGTCAGGTTCGTGGCAAAAGGCCGTGTGGTAGTCTGTTTATATTATGTTGTATAAACGTAGTAATATATGTTAGGACTGGAAGTCCTAATATGTTATTGAAATATATAACTACATAATTTGTCGATAGATGTCGCTAAAAGAAATTACATCGCGATACTGTGTGTTCGTCCCGGTTATGGTAAGTAAGAAAACTTTATACTGTGAATCACCACGCTGCTCCAGTGCGGAGTTGGATTATTAGTTTTTGGGAAAGCAGTGCAGTGGTACCACTGGTCCTGCTTATTAGGAGAATCCTCACTATTGACATGATAATGCATTTCTATGTGGATTTTAGACATATTGAATTATGTTTTTATAATGTGTTTTGATAATAATTATAACATAATAAGTGCATAATATAACTAATAAATAAAAGTGTTGTAGTGGCGGTGTAAGATTAACCATTGGGTGCTCCGTATCATTCAGTGGGATTCGTAAAGGGCGACAGAGAGGAACAAATCAGATGGGCAGCATCGTCTTTCTGATAACGCCTAAAAATAAAAACTGCATTGCTAATAACCACCTGCCATGCGTGGTAACTGTGGTAAATAATTTCCCCTATGAGGCAATCTATTGGATAGGCCCAAGTTCAGCAAATGGACTTTAATGGGCTGTAGCGGTAATGGAAAAGTGATGATATTAATGAGTAACGACTGATGATGATAGTTAATCTATTTATTTAAAACATAAAAGATTTTTAATATTTAATGATCACTATAAGATGTTGTTAGGTTAGCTACTCGTAAGTACGAAATAACTTAAGGCAGAAGGACCCTTAAGTAGGGACTGAATAAATTAAAAGACTTGGTATTACATGGATCTCACATCTCTTTATGGTAGAAGAACTGAGTTGCGAGACTTGTTTTTTTTTTACAAGTTATGTTTTTGATGGCATAATTTACACATATATACACTAAATGGTGATGTCTATGGGCCACACATCCACTTACTATCAAGTGGACTGTGTGCTCGTTTTATCATTTTTATTCTTTACAAGCAACAGCTCTAACGTTAAAACGTAATAATAAAAACCCGATTTGTAAAAATGTTTACTAAAAAGAAAAAAAATTGTAGCCTTTGTTACTCCCACAATTAAGACCAAACTAACGACACTGTGTTAAAATCCATCAAGCCGTTTAGGTTACGGAGCGTGCCAAGGAAATAGATATAAATGCATAATAATAATGACTTCCAGACGGTGTTTCGTTCACATTATAGTACCCGAGTGTACGCGCAACTACAAGTGTAACTTTCTATTTCCTCACTTTCACAGACCGATAGCCGGTAATCCGATACGATCGGAGAGATCAGGCGCAGGACTAATGGCTTTCAGTGCTTTCCAAGGCACGGGGGTGAAATATTGCCAACTTCCAACTCCGGGCCGCTACCGAGAATTTCTTGACATAAAAATCCAACAACTGGTTTTGGCCTGACCCAGGAGTTTTTGGTCAGCAATTGCGATTACGACCACTACCTATAGGTATATACTTATGAGTACCCACATACTCTCAAAAAACATTACAATCCTAGAGCAGTCGGATAAGTGGGAAGGGACGCTCTAGACTCTAGATCAAAGTTTATAGATCAAGTTGGAGATATATTGAAAATGGGCCAAATTAAGAGTACCCTTAATCGACGGGCATGTATGCGTAGATATATGGATGTAAAGAAGTCGAGAGAGGTCAGGACCGTGCCAAATGGAAGTCCGTAGTCTCTGCCTACTCCTGGGTGACAGTTGTGAGTGTATATGATGATGATTTAGAAGATGTAGCGTACCTGTAACGCGTGGAGGTAGTGCTGCTGCGGGTAGGGTGCGGTGTGCGCGTAGCCGTCGTAAGGCGCGCTGGGCTCGCTCTTGATGTTGAACAGCGACGGGCTGGACAGGAAGGCGGGCGCCACGCCCAGCCCGTACTGCTGGCCGTGCGCGTGCGCGTGGGCGGGAGCGTGGGCGGATGCGTGCGCGTGGGCGGGAGCGTGCGCGTGAGTGTGCGAGTGCGTGTGTGCCGCCGTGCTCACGGACTCGCGCGCGCGCACGCTCCCGCTCGTGCCCGCTGCCAGGGACACCTCTGCCGCGTTCGCTTTGACCTCTGTAAAAGCAATTGTTATAATATAGCGTAAGTTAGTGTAATGTGGTCATCCGATTAAAATATAATCATTTTCTCATAACTCAATAATGTATAATGCCTGTGTGGCGAATAAATAACTACAGTCGTGTTTAAATAGAAGTGATACCATAGCTCTTCATCAGTCAGTCAAGTAATAGAAGTGAATATGGAACGAATATTGGGCCCATCTCTACTAATTTTGAAGATTGAAGATCTCATGTATATATATATATATATATATATATATATATATATATTATATCAGTAGAAGCTTGATACTGCTGTGTTTCGTTCGTGAGTGAAGAAAACCGGAGATCCCTTTTTATTTGTTTCCCTTTTCATCTTAGTATAGGGATGACAATGCATCTGCAATTTGATTTTTAATCGAGGTTCGATGTAGATTTCTATGGGGCACATCATCCACTTACCATCAGGTGGAGTGTAGACTAATTTGGCACGATTAAAAGCATGATCGTCACCTTCAATTATCTCCGCCAATAATTTCTCGTCTTTGTAATTATTATAGTAGGTAATAAGGTTGTAAAATGTAATGTTGTAAAATACTAATAAATGGCCATACAAACTTATAGTAAATTTTGTACGTCTATGACAAACAGGCAGCCATATGCGTTTAGTAAAAGCTGTTATTTTGACATTACAAACAGACCTTTTAGTGTTATTTATTTGTATGGAATATAGATGACAATTTCAATATTATTATTCCACCTTAACTTTAAAGATACATTCAATTTCTTTTCTACTATTAAACTTTAAACAATTCTAGATAATTATGTACGATCGTTTATTTCTTATCAGCTGTAATTAATCCTCAGTAGTAACGGCACGTGCCTTTATTAATAGGTACTTACTGAATAATCGCCTATCATCATAATCAACACGTATATTAGCCCCCTTTGGGACACATTATATTTAACGTGGTGGAGCCACGATGCGGCTATATTATGATTGTAGCACGAATAGATCGGATCGGTACGGGTAGGCACACGCTCTTACAGAATACCAGTGTAAAATAGCAGCTTATTGTTGCGGTTTCGTATGGTGAGTGTAAAGAACCGAGAATCCTTATTATTATTCTTATTTTATTGTATTATTATTATATTTATTATTATTTTATTATATTATTATTATATTTATTATTCTTCAGGGATGACAACGCATCTGTATTTTGATTCTTAATCGAGGATTAATGTACATGCCTATTTGCCACAGCATCCACTTACCACCCGGTGGACTGTGTGCTCGTTTCTCACCCTTATGCTATAAAAAAACGACTAACGATAATTAATAATATTTTATCCTTATATAAGATGTCTATCATACTTATGCTTTAACCACTGAGTCAAATTTAAATCAGTTTTTTCAATAGCAATTACCAGCGGTGCTGGCGGGAATGGAACCCACTTTGCTTTACGTACTGTAATTTTACTGGTGGTCAGTGTCAAATTTAACTTTTTGGTGGCCTAGGTTTTTATAACATGGTGGTGGTTATAAATAAAAATATGTACGTGCAATATGAAATATGAGAAAAAAAACTTTGCTAATATTGACGTCATATACAAATTTACGTATCACTAAATTTAAAAAAAAAACGTATAAAATGTTTTTCATTTTTAATTATGTTTCACAATAAATCAAATCTTTGATTGACTAGACAAACATGCATTTTTTCTTTAATAAAACATATTTTTTATTATAAGTTTAATAACCTCATATACCTCGAGGAGTGCTCTGAGGAATTGTTTGGACTAATTCCGGCCGCTCAATTTCTCCATCGCACATCGCGACAAACTTGCGATACCATCCATGCCATCTGGATAATTGGTGGCCCACCACTGTGCGATTTCTTAATTATTACTTAAAACTTCTAGTAGGAGCTTTCCCTCTCGCACAACTAACTTGTGGAATCGACTACTACCAGCGATTGTTCAACCAATTGGTTTAATACTCAAAGGATTTTTCCGAATCGATGTCTTAGGGACCTTTAAGAAGGAGCATACTGTTCTTAAAAGGCCGGCAACGCACCTGCGATTCCCCTGGTGCTGCAGTCGTTCATGGGCTGCGGTGGATACTTAACATCAGGTGAGCCGTATTCTCGATCGCCCCATCTTTTATAAGAAAAAAAGTAAGTTGTTTCTTGAAAAAAAATGTTAGAAAAAAGGAAGTTATTTTTTGTTTATTTCTGAAATTAGTTATATTTTACATTAATTACCTAATTAATTAATTAGAAATGAATAAATTATATTCATATTATATTTGATTAATTATATATATTTATACGTGGTGGGGCCATGTTGCAGCTATATTAGTAATAGGCATAGAATACTATAATTTATAGTATTCTTTGGTAGTAGGTATAATTGCAGCATGAATGGGTCGGCTCGACCGGGGAAGGACCGCGCACTCACAGAGTACCAGCATAAAATAGTAGCTTAATGCTGCTGTCTTTCGTATGGTGAGTGTAGAGATCCGGAGACCCTTTTTACTGGAAACGAGGCATTCCATCTTAGTACTCATGGGTGACAGACAACGCATTTGCATTTTGATTTGTAATCGAGGATAGATATTAGTGAATTTTATGACATTATACGAGGCGAGGTTTATGTTTTGTTTGTAGCGTGAACAGGGAAGAACCACGCTCTCACAAAATACCAGTGTAAAATAGTAGCTTAATGCTGCTGCGTTTCGTATGGCGAGTTTAGAGAACCAGAAACCCTTTTTTTGTGTAACGAGGCATTTTATCTTAGTCCTCAAGCTGACAACTTATTTGCACTTCGAGGATGGATGTAGATGCCTACGGGCCACAGCAACCACGTACCATCAGGTGGACTGTGCGCTCGTCTGTCAGCCTTCTTTCTTTCTTCTTATTTAACTGCTGGCTAACCGTGAACACCGGTATCGGATGTTCCAGATGTTTCTTGTTTGCTTACCATCAATTCCTGGTGTGCCGTGGTCATCTTTTTTTACCGTTTCTTGCGGAGGCTTCGTACCGTTCGCTGACTTCTTCGGCTTCCTCTTTCTAGTCTGAATGCCGTCCTTCCTCATTGCCAACGGTCTGTAAGCGATAAAAAGCACCGTTTAAAGAAAATATTAAAGGAATGCTGTATAAACAAAATAAATGTTAGAATTTCTTTATACCAGATTTAAGTAATTTACTCAAATTAATAACAGTAGATAATAATGTCCTAAAGATCGAATTTCGGTGACGGCGGACAGTCTGAACGGAGACTATCCGTCTGCGCGGGACGTGATTATAGTGCACGATTCTTTTTATTTTAAAATCTTTATTGCATTCCTTCAGAAAAAAAAGGATAAATGGTAGATTTAACGCCTAAAGGCATTCTATTATATTCTCTACCAGTCAATACATGGAGTGGTGAGAGTTTGACATAGGTGTAATAATTGTATGTAGGTATAATAGTGTGTGTAATAAATGTATGCAGGTATAATAGTGTGCGTAATAGCTGTATGTAGGTATAATAGTGTGTGTAATATCTGTATGCAGGTATAATAGTGTGCGTAACACCTGTATGTAGGTATAATAGTGTGAGTAATAGCTGTATGTAGGTATAATAGTGTGCGTAATATCTGTATGTAGGTATAATAGTGTGAGTAATAGCTGTATGTAGGTATAATAGTGTGCTTAATAGCTATATGTAGGTATAATAGTGTGAGTAATAGCTGTATGTAGGTATAATAGTGTGAGTAATAGCTGTATGTAGGTATAATAGTGTGCGTAATATCTGTATGTAGGTATAATAGTGTGAGTAATAGCTGTATGTAGGTATAATAGTGTGCTTAATAGCTATATGTAGATATAATAGTGTGAGTAATAGCTGTATGTAGGTATAATAGCGTGCTTAATAGCTATATGTAGGTATAATAGTGTGAGTAGTAGCTGTATGTAGGTATAATAGTGTGCTTAATAGCTATATGTAGGTATAATAGTGTGAGTAATAGCTGTATGTAGGTATAATAGTGTGCGTAATAGCTATATGTAGGTATAATAGTGTGCTTAATAGCTGTATGTAGGTATAATAGTGTGCGTAATAGCTGTATGTAGGTATAATAGTGTGAGTAATAGCTGTATGTAGGTATAATAGTGTGCTTAATAGCTGTATGTAGGTATAATAGTGTGAGTAATAGCTGTATGTAGGTATAATAGTGTGCTTAATAGCTATATGTAGGTATAATAGTGTGAGTAATAGCTGTATGTAGGTATAATAGTGTGCGTAATAGCTACACTTTCATACGAGGATACAGAGGCGCTTTTGCGATCCCCCTATAGAGCTAACTAAACCACATCTCAGCATTAAGTCGTAAGATTCATCACACAATTAGTGAGGACTGCTGTCTTTGACACAACCAATCCCTAGATGTTTAAAATAGGGCAGGGTTTATTATGCACACATTAATACACACACACACAGGGGCGCGCACACACACACACACACACACACACACACACTCACACACACACACACTACACACACACACACACACACACACACACACACACACACACACATACATACACACGCCACACAACACACACACACACACACACACACACACATTTACAAACTTTTACGTGTACACTCGCAATTCCATCCCTCTCTTTTATACCTTTATACTCTTTTATACTTGTTCTTAAGTATTGTCTCCATATGTAGCGGATTCAATATTATGTAGTACTAAACAGGGCATTGCTCTAATTGTTTCCTATAATGTCCGGTGGAAGGCGCTAGCGTCTGTAATACAGTTTTCAATATAAAACTAGTACAGCCGCTAACGATCAACCATATCCCACTAGTATGTTACTAGTATATTGATGCCTGTAATCGTAATTAATATGGTAAATTTTGTTACACGTTTTTCTGAGAATAAAGATTTTATTATTTATTATTATTATAGTGTGCGTAATATCTGTATGTAGGTATAATAGTGTGAGTAATAGCTGTATGTAGGTATAATAGTGTGCTTAATAGCTGTATGTAGGTATAATAGTGTGCGTAATAGCTGTATGTAGACATAATAGTGTTTGTAATAACTGCATGTAGGTATAATAGTGTGTGTAATATCTGTATGTAGGTATAATAGTGTGCGTAATAGCTGTATGTAGTTATAATAGTGTGCGTAATATCTGTATGTAGGTATAATAGTGTGAGTAATAGCTGTATGTAGGTATAATAGTGTGCTTAATAGCTGTATGTAGGTATAATAGTGTGCGTAATAGCTGTATGTAGGTATAATAGTGTGAGTAATAGCTGTATGTAGGTATAATAGTGTGAGTAATAGCTGTATGTAGGTATAATAGTGTGATTAATAGCTGTATGTAGGTATAATAGTGTGATTAATAGCTATATGTAGGTATAATAGTGTGAGTAATAGCTGTATGTAGGTATAATAGTGTGCTTAATAGCTGTATGTAGGTATAATAGTGTGCGTAATAGCTGTATGTAGTGATAATAGTGTTTGTAATAGCTGTATGTAGGTATAATAGTGTGAGTAATAGCTGTATGTAGGTATAATAGTGTGCGTAATAGCTGTATGTAGTTATAATAGTGTGTGTAATAACTGTATGTTGGTATAATAGTGTGTAATCACTGTATGTAGGTATAATAGTGTGAGTAATAGCTGTATGTAGGTATAATAGTATGTGTAATAGCTGTATGTAGTTATAATAGTGTGTGTAATAACTGTATGTTGGTATAATAGTGTGTAATCACTGTATGTAGGTATAATGGTAGATATAATAGTGTGTAATCACTGTATGTAGGTATAATAGTATGTAATAACTATGTGTAGGTAATAAGGGCATCCACATTACACAACTTGTTCTGGCATCAGGGCGGCGGCACTTTACAACATACTGAAATATTTGACAGGTATCATAGCGTGGAAGTGGCCGTGTAGTGGCGGTTGAGAATATCCACTACCCCATATCTTCCCGTGGGTGTCGTAAGAGGCGACAGAGGGAGACAGGCAGGAGATGGGCAGCAGCATCTTCCTAATAACAACAATAACATAAAAAAAAATGCGGTTGCCAACCCGCTCGCCAAGCGTGGCAACTACGGCAAATATCCCCCCATGAGCAACGACGCAAATAAACGGCCCCCAGTCCCCGGCGGCCCCGCTATTCCTGGCTACGGTGACGACCATGGTACCGGCGGGGCAGGGGGTGCTAAGAATCTCCGGTGGAGGTTCGGTTGCCACCTACGACGACTCGACCTAGCAACGTATAACGCACGCACCCTGTGGACTGACGAGAAGATCCTGGAGCTGGAAGAAGAGGTAGAAAAGTTGCGTTGGGATATTATTGGATTATCTGAGGTCCGAAGAGAGGGGGAGGACACGGTAATCCTCGAGTCCGGCAACTTGTTCTATCACCGGGAGGGCGACCATCTGTCCCAAGGAGGTGTCGGATTTATCGTCCACAAGTCTCTCGTCAACAAAGTTGTAAAGATTGGGAGTGTGTCGACGAGGGTCGCGTACCTGATACTCAGAATCACCAAACGGTATTCGCTGAAGGTCATACAGGTCTAAGCACCTCGGCATATCCCGATGAGGAGGTGGAGGAAATGTATGAGGATATTTCTAGAGCCATGCATTCCTCCAAAACCCACTACACGGTGTTGATGGGACACTTCAACGCAAAACTAGGCACAAGAGAAAACGGTGAGCTGAAGTTATGGAAATTTGGAGTAGGGCAACGGAACCGAAGGGGTCAGCAGCTGGCCGACTTTATAGAGAAAGAGGGACTCTTTATGATGAACTCTTTCTTCCAGAAGCGGCCCCACAGGAAGTGGACCTGGTCGAGCCCCGACGGTTCGACAAAAAATGAGATTGACTTCATTATGACGACCAGACGCCAACTGTTCAGTGATGTCTCAGTGATCGCAAGGGTGAAAACTGGCAGCGATCACCGAATGGTTAGAGGCACACTGAACCTAAACGTTAAGTTGGAGAGGTCTCGTCTAATGAAGTCAACGCTCCGTCCCCCTCGTGCTCTGATCCAGAATCCCGAGACTTTTCAGCTCGAGTTACGTAACCGCTTTCAGTGCCTAGAAGATTGCAATGCAGTGGACGATATGAATGACAAGCTCGTGGAAACTGTCCATGCGGTTGTTTTTTTTTTCGGCTTCAGTACCATAGACCACATACATACCCTGCGGCAGATTGTACAGAAGATCGAAGAGTACAATCTGCCACTTTGCCTGGCGTATGTGGACTATGAGAAAGCCTTTGATTCCGTCGAAATTTGGGCGGTGCTACAGTCCCTTCAGCGGTGTCAAGTTGACTGTCGGTATATCGAAGTGCTGAAGTGTTTGTACAGTAGAGCTACAATAGCTATCCGAGTACAGAACCAGAGTTCGAATCCTATTCAACTGCAGAGAGGTGTAAGACAGGGTGACGTTATATCCCCGAAACTCTTCACCGCTGCGTTGGAAGACGTTTTCAAGCTACTGGACTGGGAAGAATAGGGTATTAACATCAATGGCGAGTAATCACTCACCTTCGATTTGTCGATGATATAGTCCTTATGGCAGAATCCCTGGAGGACCTTAGCACTATGCTCAATGACCTCAATGGTGTCTCCCAACGGATAGGTCTTAAGATGAACATGGACAAAACAAAGATCATGTTTAATGTCCATGTCACACCTATGCCGGTAGTTGTTGGGAGCACTATGCTCGAAGTTGTTGACGAGTACGTTTACCTGGGACAAATAGTCCGACTAGGTAAGTCCAACTTCGACCGAGAGCTCAATCGACGGATTCAACTCGGCTGGGCAGCGTTCGGGAAATTACGACACATCTTCTCGTGAGGTATACCTCAATCTCTGAAAACTAAAGTGTACAACCAGTGCGTGTTGCCAGTGATGACTTACGGATCAGAGACGTGGTCCTTCACTGCTGGCCGTATGAGGACGCTCAAGGTCGCTCAGCGAGCTATGGAGAGGGCTATGCTCGGAGTTTCTCTGCGTGATAGACTCAGAAATGAGGATATCCGCAGTAAAATCAGAGTGACCGACATAGCCCAACGGATTAGTAAGCTGAAGTGGCAATGGGCCGGCCATATAGCTCGAAGAACCGATAACCGATGGGGAAGAAAGGTTCTCGAGTGGCAGCCTCGTACCGGTAGGCGTAGTGTAAGGCGACCCCCCACTAGATGGAGTGACGACCTGGTAACACATGCAGGAAGTCGATGGATGCAGGTTGCTCAGGACCGTGCTTTTGGCATTGCTTGGGGGAGGCCTATGTTCAGCAGTGGACTTGTGAAGGGCTGTAATGATGATGATAGCGTGGAAGTCCAGTTTTTAGGAGAATTTATTGGTTAATCTTTCTTTCCGATATATTAGTTATAAATTAGATTAGAAATGAATAAGCCAAACTGTAGATACTCCTAAAAGTAGAAGAATTATAAAAACAGTTAAAAATGTACAAAAAAAATAAAGAGCAAAATTTATATTAACATAAATACAAAGGTAATATATATACATATAGATAGAAAGAGCCGTGGTAGCTCAGATGGTTAACGCTCGCTGTAAATTTCACTGTACACGAGCAAACCGGGTACGATCCCCGTCGGCGTCAATGAAATTGTTAATTGCAATTTTAAGTGCTGATTTACCACGTGCGGGGAAAAAAAACATATTTGCGACCATTAAAAAAAAAAAATTACACCGGGGGCGGGCGGGGGCTCGGTGTTTTAAAATTTTTTTATTTTTCTATCCCTTTATTTTTTTTTTTTTTGTTTTTTTTTTCCTTTTTTTAGGAAAAAAACAAAAAAAGAGAGAGGCGAGACGGAGGGAGGGAGCCGGAAAACAAAGGGGGGGGGGTGGGAGGAGTGGGTCCCCAGAAATTCTTGGATTAATTGGGGGGCTTTTTTTGTCGGGCCTTCCTAATGCGTTTTTATCGCGCTGTTGTGTGGAAGTCTATATATGCGCAATGCAATTCTATGCTTGCACATACGTGCATAAGTGCACTCTCTACTTTCTCACTATCGTAGTACGTTGGGACGTTAATTTGACACGACTGGAGAGAGATCAGGCGGTGGACCAACGGTTTTACGTATTTTCCGAAATATGGTGGTGACACACCAGCATTTTCCTGATTCTGGGCAGCTAATGAGAGTTTCTTGACAGAAAAACCCAACTAGGCTAACGATGCACAAGTGGTTAGAACGCTAGCGTACTTGTAACGTATAAAAAATAATTAAATTACCTGTTAATACCATGGAGTTTGTAGTAGAGGCCGCAGGCGTTGCACACGGGCTCACCGTCGTTGTTCCGGCGCCACAGCGTCGTATTGCGCGAGCCGCAGTTGGTGCAGCACTGGCCGTGCCGCCGCGCTGCTGACTGTACAGTGTACACACACAGACAATAAATACAAGCACTGCACGTAGGGGGTACCCTTGTACCGCGGGGCTAGGTCGAACAGGCACTTCAATTTAATTAATATTATTTTAAACATATTTAAATATAATGTACATATGCAGTATTTGCAGAGTTTAGTAAGTATAGCATAGCAAATAGGTAATACAATAGTCTTATATTTAAAGGCCTAATAATAATGATCTATTTAAAAAAATCATTGCCGCATGTACGAAGGACCATCACTTGAAAACAGCCGGGCCAATTTTTACGAAATTTTTTGTTTGTGTTTGAGTTTCACTATTCACTATTGCAGCCGGCAGATGGCGCTTGCGTTTAGATCTAGAAATCATCCGTACGAAGCCGGGGCGAATCGCTGGTGTGAAATAAATATGGAATGTTTGGGCACTCTTTGTCTTTTTAAGTAATATTATGTTTATGTTATTTTTTTAGGACGGGTTGTGCCAAAATAAAGGGAAAAACAATCACTGAACTTTTCATAATTAACTTTAGGGTACCTACGATCTTGATTTTAATTGATAGAATTGTATTAATCTATCTTCGGTCAAGTATGTCTCAAGAAAAAAAATTATTTAAATACGAAAAGAATCCAGGATGATGATATGATATGATAATAATAATACAAAACCCTGCTAAATATTACTTAAATTTATCACAACAAACAATGCATACATATCATGATATTTTCTGGCCGATTCCATCCTCGATGACAACTCGAATATCGGAAGCTATAGAAGTAAAGGTCACGAACGAACCCACAGTCCATCTTATGATAATGTAGATGCTGTGGTCCGTAGACACCTGCTTAAAAGTGCAGATGCGTTGTCAGTTGTCACCGTAAAGTACTAAGATAAAAAGCTTTTTGAAATGTATATGTGTATCTACACATATATACAGGTACACACGTTAACCATATACCTAACAACCCTTTTTTCCGTCGGGGAATAAAAAGAGAACCTAATAAATGAAAGAATTGTCGCTATGTACCTAGGTAAGCTATTTAAATTTTTAAAGAAATTCCACAAATACTAAAGTCAATATACCTAGTATTACAACGATTTAAGTACATTAAAATGTTATTTTACCAAGATTATGTACTTTGCCTGTTTTTTTGTAGTGTGTAATGGCGAAGAAAATATTTAGCTTTGAAATTTTTGGTTGTTTCTTTCGGATTCAAATGCCCTTACATTTGTTACTCTCCAATTAGTACAAAACTAAATTTGTAACATTTTCTCATTTACATGTGTTTAGGACTGTTTAGTGTCTCGCTCTCACATGATTACAATTTCGATGCATCAGATAAGGACTTAAGAACATATTGACGGACTTTTTTGTGTATTTGTGAGCGGTGTTCCGCAAGGGTCCAGAGTACGGATGGAACCGGTTGCAAGTCGCGGGGCAAAACAGGATTCGTTAGGTATAATTTTGAGATGCTTATTATTGTTGTTTGTAGTTGTATTTTGAGAATTAGGATATAGATAAAAAATAAAGAGAGTATTTTTAATCAATTAAAAGTTTAAAAGCGAATATAAATATTATAATTGAAAAGGCGCCGCTGGGTTTCTTGTTGGTTCTTTTAAGGTCAGAGTAAACATTACTTTGAATAAGAATCACTTGTGGTTTATGAATATAAAATTATTCTATTTGATTGAATATCATTGAATCTACGATCAGTTGAAATTTTGAAGATTTTAAAATTAGCGCAGTTTTAGCAAAGGATTTGATGAACGGTGTCTCACTGAAAGTATTTTATACACACATCCATACATACATGTTAGATAATAAAACAAGTATTTAATATTGTCAATCTGAATTAAAAGATGTAATGTACCGCCACCTTTGGAAACGCTACCGTTAGTAACATGCATTGGAAAATGTATATATAAGTACAATAATGTAGGCGATAGTTGATTTCAAACGTAAAGTGCTTTGACTAGGTCTACAAGTAATATTAACGTGCAGGAGACAGTGTTCACAGACATCGGCGCGACGTCAAGGCACGTGCAAGTAGACTCCGTCACCATATTAACTACTCTCTAGTCCTCACATACTCGTAAGTGCCCGACCCGATAAAAGGAAGATAAACCGGTGTTGCCACTGTCCAATGGCGGGCGGGGCCGAGCCCCATTGGCGACTCAGCCTCGGCCCCCAGCGCCCACTCGCGCCGACATTACAACGCGCTCCTCGCGGCTATTACTCGCGGAAAACATCAAAGAACAACTCTTACACTACGATAACTTACGTCGGCACCACACACACATTAACACAACATTCATACGGTCGCATAGAACGGAGCCACAGTGACACCGAATGTCCCGATTTAAAAGCAACGGTAAGCAAAGGATAGGGTGTTCGAGAATTTGAATTACATTGTATCACGGACAATCGGGACACCCAACGCCGCTATCGAAGTGAGGAGCGGTAGCGTGTAGTTCCCTACTCGGCAAAAATTAACAAGAAAAGTTAGAGTCGCGTGCGGGGTGCGGGCGTTATCAAGCGGGGTGAGGATGCATGCACTAGTCTACACGCCACCGACTCACCTTCTTCATGCCCCTGGCCATGCCTTCCACACTCATCCATCTCTGCACGGAGCCGTCCTTATAGAAGCGGGTGAGGAGCTCCGCGTCGGCACCTGTTCGCAGAGAGAGGGTTACTACGTGTTGGTATGAGACTTACCAGCCGCTTGCTGGGCTTCACGAGCGGCCGGTTCACGCCGTTGATCTTGTGGTAGAGGCCACACGCGTTGCACAGGTAGTGGCCGGTGGCATCGCGTCGCCACAGAGGCGTGTTGTTCGCGCCGCAGTTGACGCACTCGCGGCCCTCCTCGTACGCCTCCAGAACGCCATCTGTGTGCCCACTCTCGTCACACACAGCCGAAGTAGGGCTCTCGGCGGACCGAGATCGGTAAAGCTATCGCTGGTCTATACTATCGCTATTGCTAGCCGGTCTCACCTCAGTTTGTGTGAAGCGACAACCAGCTTAGAAGTGTTGTGTGAGGTACTCATCCTCAAAGGATGAGATAGAGAGAGAAAGGGATTTATTGTGTAATTTATGTATTTGATTTTTTTTAAGTACCCCCATACAAATACTTGTTCTGTGCGGGATTCGAACCCGTGGCTCTCAGCACAGCAACTCATTGCTAACCACTGTACCCTATTAAGTCTTATAGCCTATGAGGCGTTCCATCTCTTCTCTGAGGTATGTATAGCTTTTATTTTTCTAATGGGTCGCAGTTATCCATGAGCAGCAGTAGCCACATACCGTCAGGTGGACTGTCAGACTGTCAGCTGGTTTGTCAGCTGAAAACATTAAGAAACTTGAACCTTCGTACATCTCATTTAATTTTTTTGTAGAATTTACACCTTGGACGAATCCCAGGTTCGTGTTATCGTTATAGATAATAGTTGTCGTATTTGAGACGATAAGTTACAGTGAGTCAACTCGTAGCGTTTCGTCAAAATATGAAAATAAAATCCCTAAGAACCTAATGAGATGAAGTCCTCAAGGGATTCATTACGAGATACAACTACATCCTGCTAAAATGTATATTTATTATAATTATAGGCTGAGAGGGGTTTCATCTTAGCACTGAGGTGATATCGCATCTTCTTTATTTGAAGTTGGCCACTTACCATCAAGTGGACAATTTTATACGTGGCAGAGCCATGCTGCAGCTATATTAAGGTTGTCGCACAAATGGGTTGGCTCGACCGGAGTTTAACCACACTCTGATAGAATACCAGCGTAAAATAGCAGATTAATACTGCTGTGTTTCGTATAGTGAGTGTAGAAAACCGGAGACCCTTTTCACTGGAAACGAGGCATTCTATCATAGTCTCCAAGGCTGATAACACATCTGCATTTTGATACTTAACGGGAGATAAATGTACATATCTATACGCCACAGCATGCTTTTACCATCAGGTGGACTGTGTGCTCGTTTGTCATTCTTATTCTATAAGAAAAATTAGACTATAAGTTTGTTTGTCATATCAATTTTATTAAAAAAAAACTTACGCACATGCGCAGTCATCAGATAATGTTTATTTTATATGTAATGTGTAAATATGTGTACGGTTTACTAGACAAATCTGTTAGCTGGTGAGCTGTTTTTTACGTTGTAGTCACCCTGCAGCTATATTATAGTTGCAGCACAAAGGGGTTTACTTGACCGGGGAAGGACCACGCATCAGAATACCAGCATAAAATGGCAGCGTAATGCTGCTGTGTTTCGTTATGTGAGTGTAGAGAACCGCATACCCTTTTTACTGGAAACGAGGCATTACATCTTAGTCCTCAGGAGTGACAAGGTATTTGCATTTTGATTCTTAATCGAGGATAAATGTAGATGTCTATGGGCCACAACATCCACTTACCATCAGGAGGGCTGTGTGCTCGTTCGTCATCCAATGCTATAAAAAAGCTGATTAATGCATAACACACCATCGTTACGTAACACAGTGGTGGGTGTACCGTACCTTGGCGACATAATTACAATGACAGGTTTAGATACCCAAACTGATTCTTAGACAGGAACCCTACCTTGTGAAGATGTACCTACATCATGTTTCATGTCATGTCCGGCCAATAGAAACTGGACTGCTGAACATAGGTCTGCACCGTAGATTGTCTAATAGGGAGATATTTGCCATGGTTGTGACGCTTGTCCAGTGGATGGGCAACCGCAGTTTTATCAGGAAGACGCTGGTGTCCGTTTCCTGTTTAACTTCCCTCTGAGACTACTAAAGATGGCCACGGGTTGAATGGGGTAGTAGTGTTTTTGCGCCACTATGAACGGCATAACAGGTAAAGAATTTTTAGTTAGAAAATTATTACATTATTGTATTTTCTACACAGGAGCTCTACGTGATCGAAGTAACTTGAAGTGCTGCCCAAAGCTGCTTACAAAGTTGAATATCGCTTATCGCTTCCTAGAAGTTTTGAAACAATAACAAGTGTTGGTGACAATACGTGGAGTTGGTTAATGCAAGCGACTTGCGTTCTTATCGGCAACGTTATCGCCTATCCGGTCGATAGCAGGTCGCCATCGCTGTTCGCTAACCCAAATCCATTAATTTGTACGCAACAATTACAATTACACGTATATCTGTGTGATGATTGTGCGCAATGTATCGTTGCTCAGTCTGGATATTAATTGCTCGATAATTTTCTCGACAGCTCGATGCCATCAGTTGTACATTGTTTAATAATGAGACGGCTCAAGAGATAAGCGGATGCATTGTTGCTCTTTGTTTTTCCTGATGTTTGAATGAAGTTTTAACTAACGTATATTTAGACGGCTCGGTAACGCATTACAATAATTACTAATTGTTTTAACTCTGCATGTTTGTCCATGTTCAGGTAACTTATTTATGTAGGTAAAATGCCTACCCGATTTTCATTCGCGTCATTTCATTCATTTTATTTCATTTCATGACAAATACCTAAAAGAAGTACAAGTAGAAACTTCTTTTAATATAAATTTAACTTTAAAAATATTGTTTAGATATATTTTTATTTAAAAAAATATGAAAGTGGTTTCTGAATCGATAAGATTATAGTTAATTAAGCTTTATTTTATAGTTATAAAATTATTTTCGATCTTACTGGCAGGCAAACAAAGAGAGTTTTGGTGAAGTGAAGTAAGCAGACATTATAAATAGAGGTACATATTAACATTGTAGACAAAACATTTTTCCAGATTTCCGTACTTTTGGCGGGAACTTGACCGCCGGCGGATGACTGCTCCTATATTATTGTTTATATATCGGTTTGAAATGTATTTCGATACATACCTATAGGTATGTAGTGCGATTTTGTGAATTCAATATTTACGAATATGAATAGTGGAAACGATGAACCAAGTGGTCCGATGGTGATGTGAACCTCAAGATAATGTGTCTACTTAGGCTCCTTGAGGTACTTACTGTCGCTATCGACTGTCTGCTCGCTCAAGCTGCCGTAAACATCTTTCTGAAACTTCGCAATATGACGCATTGTCAAGAAGATTTTAAACGAATTATTAAGAAGTAACATTTTTATTTAATAAATTAATTAATTTAATAAAAATAATTTAATTAATTTTTAATTGATTTAATTTTACAAAAGTACATCTGTTCGAGTCCATTACCAAAGAAAGAAACATTTTCCCGTCAACAAAGCGAGAAGGTAAAAGTAGTGTCAGCAATGGAAGCGTGTCTAATCTACTCATAGTTTATAATATATCTACATGTCCTGTACCACTCATTAGGCCGCAGATAATGTTATCACGAGCCTGGAGTAAGCGCTGCGGTCGAGATCGGCCCGCATGCTACCATAAGCTGCGTGTTAACCGTTTCCGCGTGTTAACGTCGAAGTAAACTAAATTATTACGTTCGTAATATGAGAGCATACAGTGTAGGTGGTAAGTTTTATTTACAGTTATAAAAGGCTCATCAATTATAGTTATGGTTAAAGCCTTGATAAACGTACTGGTTTAATTTTAGTTTTTGAGTTGTAGCAAATGATTTTTATATTAAGTAATAAATGCCTTTTAATAGGTACGGGTCATCATTAATAAATTCAATTGAATAAAGCATCGATTCATCGTTAAAAAAATTGTCACTATTCAAAACAGACATAATCAAAGCAATGTAGTAAATTTATATTTTATTTTATTATAATGCATATAAAAATCGATTTTACAAACTACCTACTGCGTGCCTGACCGTACTGAGAACGTCCGTCCGTTGACCAAGTTTGCCGATTTCTACAGGTTATTTAATACAATAATAAAAACACAACAAACATGAAGTTATGGTAATAGGTTTTCAAAAAATAAAGACATAATAATTTATCGAAACGTTTTAGGACTCAATATAATTTACCTACTTTTAGCAAACACTAGCATAAATAAGGAAATATTGGCACATTTATGTGAATAGTAATGATAAAGGTTTATTTTACAGATTGTATATAAATATGATCGGTAAGCTGCGGTTGTAAAGCTATTTTTATCATTAACAGCCAATAATCAAGAACGCAATCCACGTCTACTTGATAATCAATGCATTTGTGTAATGTGAAACGCACCTTAGAAAGGTATAAGTAATTTTATGATATAGATATATGAAACCATAAAATTTCGATTACACGCTTATAAAATACACGTGGGATACACTGGTTAAAATATATTTTAAATTAGTAGTAAAAATCCACTTGAACAACTAAAAAAATAATAACTTTATATTCGGTGCTAAAATATAATGTGTAGAAGATATAAAGGCACGGCGTCAGATTTAAAGTCGGCGTTCACTTTTTATGAAAAGTTAATTTTTTACCCTCTTGAGCGGCCCACGGAATATCACGATCTCAATGTAGTCTAAATCAAGTTACCTATTATACATTAAAACCTTCCTCTTTTCGAGTTCTGTTCCGGTAGTATTCAACTAAGCCGCAAAAACTGAACCATGAAAAAACAAGTCTACGAAAATTAAGATGGCAGCTACTGCAACCCGTAGGACTTGCCACGCTGCAGCACTGGTACTTGTGGTTGTAGCACGAATGAGTCGGCTCGACGAAGACACAACACCAGCGTAAAATAGCAGCATAATACTACTGCGGTTCTTTACACTCACCATATGAAACACAGCAGCTTCATTCATTGGAGCATCCCCGGTCATTCTAACCCACGAAATATAATTTTTTTTATTCCGTGTTCTCATCCAATCTGCAGCTGTGTATAGCTGCAGCCCCAAGTTGAAGAATATAATAGGTACTTTTTTTAAATCTAATCGTAACATTCGTCACAGTATTTCGAATTATTATTACAAAAAGTCAGGTGTAGATATGAATTTTTCCTTTAAATTAATACGATATCGAATTGCCATTGATATTATTCTATTTTATTAGTTATTATCAGTGTTTTGTAAGCTTACCGTAGGCAGGGGGGCGCTGCAGTGCATCATATGGCGCGCACCATGATCCCATCACCACGTTCTGTCCATAGAGGGCGCCACCAACGCCACCGACTCCGCCCACGCTGCCCACGCTTCCACTACCTGTCAACAAACAAGTAAATCATGTAACATAACCACGACAGGAAATAGTCATAAGGTTTTTAATCGGTTCCAATTGAAAAAAAAGTTAAACGACCAAATTGTAAAGATAACATGATCTAAGGAATGAAATGTTTTGTTTGGAATATTCTTTCTTTTGCCTATAGCATCCCAGTGGTGTACCTATAATAGCACATACCCAGTTTGGCCTGTTAGTCACGTCAAAGTTTCTTCCAGATTGGGTTTACTTCAAGCTCATATGAACGTCATAATCGTAATAGTGACATCTATCGAAAATCATAAAATCTGAGATGTTTCTAAGTTTAATTTCTAAATTATAAAAATAAATTATAGATATATTGGCCAGATCTTAGAATTAATATTATCGTAAATTAATTGATCATTGCTTGAAATGATGACATTTCATAAAATTTACCACTGTTTGTTGACTTTTCTCATCTTGGCATACAACTTGGTCTAATTAATGAATAGAGATCGTAGAGTAGAGTAATATATACAGAAAGTAGATATCCTTTGGCAATATTAACAAATAAACGCAACATTTATATTTCTTGGTATATTGTTATATCGTAAAATACTTTTATTACAAACCGCTAGCGGCGCTAGTAGCGTATTTTTGACAGAAGCAGATTTTTTAATAGAATCTACAACACATTATATGTATTATAAAAATGTTTGCGGCTTGTGTGATTGATGAGCACCATTGCTGGTGTGTGAGTACTAGAGGATATAGCAGGTTTTGGTTTTCATGGTTATAATCTAATAATAGCGCCATCTACTAACTGCTAAACAAACCTATAATATGTATCTGATGAAATTAAAGAATTCTATTGAATACTTATCATTATCTTAAAAAGTTGTCAGACTTAAAATATCTAGACAAGTGGCCACAGTAGGGATGATTGACCGTAAAAAAATCAAACAATATATATATATATATATATATATATATATAGGTATATATATATAGGTATATACATAACTTGTAAAGTGGCATATATATAAATAAATGCTACTTTACAAGGCGCAGGTTCGGCTGCATGGTTTCCCAGTTCCAGCTCTTTCCACATGACCACATCCAGCGCAGAACATCTCGAATCATTGACGAGCGAGCCCTTTCCGAAATGATGTTGCATCCTTTGCATTTTCATTCGTATCTACCACGGGGAGCGCTCTGACGAATTGTTCGGATTAACCCCAGCGTCCAAATTTATGAACGCACTTCTCAGCAAAACTCCCGATGCCATCCACACCATCTGGATGCTTGGCGGTCCATCAACGCACCTGCAATTGCGTGTGCAAAGTGCGTTGCCGGCAATTATTTACAACAGAATGATCTGTGTACTATTTGTAACACAATTAAGTACGTCAGAATTTGACAATCACCCCAACCTCAAATGTACACACACACACACACACACACACACGCACGCACGCACGCACGCACGCACGCACGCACGCACGCACGCATGCACGCACGCATGCATGCACGCACGCACGCACGCACGCCCGAGCCCGCCCGCACGCACGCACGTACGCACGCACGCACGCACGCACGCACGCACGCACGCACGCACGCCCGCCCGCCCGCCCGCACGCACGCACGCACGCACGCACGCACGCACGCACGCACGCACACACACACACACACACACAGTTTTAGACTTTATTAAATATTTAATAATTTATGTGTTAGAAATAGTATACAGATCATCATGTTTTATATAATTTTAGCAATATATATTAATTGTTTATATCAATAATGTTTATGCTGCATATAGACTGCCCATGTATACCCACGTACCAACGTATATAAAATGCAATTCGGATACAGATGATAAACCAGGCTCACATTGGATAGCTTTACATATCGATACGAATGGCATCGGTCAATATTTTGATAAATATGGATGATCACCTGCACGATATCATTTTTAAAGAGGAATTGTTAAAGATGGGACTGGAGTGTTGAGTTTCAGAATGAGTGGACTTCAGTTTGTGGTGAATATTACTACATAAGTTTTAGGGATGTTCACTGCATAGGTTTACGAGCATATTTACAGGGAACACACTGCAAAACGATATTTTAGTGTATGAGATGTTTCGCTCCGGTTATAATAAGCAATAACATTGTGGAAATAAAAATTGTAACAAAATTAAGGAATGTGTTTTATTAATGATTCAGAATAGCGCGGTAGTTATGAACAAAGAAGTGTAATACAATAGCACTGATAAGGAGGGTGTACAACCATTAATAGATAATAGCGGCAATGACGGTGTTCAAGGAAAAATAGATAAGAGGAAAGGCTGAACAATGGAACGCTAATGAGGGTGCAGACCCACCGGATATCAATTAGATATTAGTTAATTGATCTACACATCTCCGGAACCGTGCATCCTACGCAAAAACGGACCGCAGATTCGTGATCAGAGCATGCCAAAACCTTAATTGTTTAGGATCCGACGACCCACCGTCAGCCGATGAGGGCTGAGTATGGTGAGTTGGTTGTGAACTAACTACTTGTCTCCCTGCATAGTAATATTTATATTTCACCAACTTCTTTTTGTATAAAATTCGCGATATCATTGAATGACTGATTACAAGCAGTATGTGGTCCATAATCGTACAAAAGCAAGCCGGATATTTGCAGTAGTTGCCACGCTTGGCAAGCGGTTGGCAGTCGCAGTTTCTTATTACCTACTTTGCACTGCAATCAGGATGCTGTGCCCATCTCCTGATTCTGTTTCCCTCTGTCGCCTCTTACGACATCAACGAGCCGACACGGGGAGTTGGTTTCATTCACAAAACACTTAATACAGCTATATTAGGTGTTCTGTGGTTTCATTTTTTGCCGCCCCTACATAGCTAATATATTTTGAATCCCGTTTGGCAATTCGATTTCCCCCATATATTGTCAAATAAGTCGAATATTTAAGGCGGGCGGGTTGCCAACCGTATGTTTTTACTATTTTGAGCTGTGATCAGAAAGACGCTGCTGTCTGTCTTATATTTCTACTCCCGTTCACGAATATAGTTTTTCTCACACGTGTAACGTGAATAGAACTATGTTTATAAAATTTCAGTCTATTCGAAGGTAGAAAAAAATCAGGCATCCATTTTATGGTGTAAATCAATATTCAATTGGGTCAATGATTTGAATCGAATGTCGCAAATAAACACTATGCCATGTATTAATAAAAGACCATTAAATTCAACATTATTTTGTCAAAACTAAGTATATTAACTTTAATTACAAATAAATATAAATAACGCATTTCTGATTCCAGGACAATTTACCCTTCACAAAGATACATCGGAAGACATGCCCGAAGGAAAAGAGTGTTCCTAGACGTATGGTATTAATGCAATTCTGATAAACTCACTAATGTGTTTCTGTAGCATAGTATTATATATCCAAATTTCAATAATTTACGTCTAATATAGACGCAGGTACCGAGGTTACAAGTTTTCTAATTTTGCTAATTTTGGTGATGTTTCTATATTGAACTTCACGCAAACGAAGGCCTCGGGTAAATGAAATATTTTATCCAGTTCGTTTTATTTTATACAAAATTTCGTTGTTGTCAAATTACAAATCGTAATTATTTACTTTAACAGTTAATTTTTCATTGGTTAATGATAGCAGTAACTGATAAGTGGAAGATGTTTAGAAATAATTTCGATAGTTCCGAGTTGGTAAATAACTCTGCCACTCCGATCATTCAATAACATAACGTACACAATATTTCGTAAAATAATTACTACACATTTGTGACTATTACAATATGGTAAGTTGCATTAAAACGACCTGTCTTGTAGTGACGATATTTTTGTTCCAAAATGTACAATTTTTTTCCCAAAGAAAAAAATGTAAATCTTAATAGGCTGTGAGTAAATTATATCGACATATAATAAATTTTGAAAATTTTTGTTATTGAATATAGGTTAGAAATATTAATTATAGAAAGTCACTCTTATATTTAATTTACCACAGGTCCGGAAAATACCTGCCCTGGGAAGAACCAGTAATGACATCAAGCGGGATATTTCATCTTTCAATCATATTTGTTACAAAAATAATTACCTGCACGAAATAAATTAGATATAGCTTGATAGCGATCAACTCATTCCCAGGGATTATTATAATCATCCAAAAATTCCTTAATATTATATAACCCCTTTTGAATAAAATATTTACGGATTTCAACACTATAAGTTTACTTATTTTTAATTCAGGACATTTCGGGAGCTTTGCAATACACATGTCACGGAAGACTAATGTGATGGTCACCTAAATTACTAAGCAATAAGGTAAACACGATATAATCTATAAAAATAGTTTTATTCAATGTTTATTGATTGTATAGATATAAGAAGTCATTAAAAATTTAAGGTTTTGCCCACAAAAATATATTAAATCAAAGTAGAAATTGTGGAATCGGGTAGGAGACAATGTAAAGAGGAGGGAAGATTCCTCAGAGGGGGAATCAAAGCATAGAAAATAATAATTTCATGATTTATTTATATGTATTTAACGTTAACATCTATTTATTTTATAAAATACCGAAATATGCCATTTAAGTTTTCTACTAGCAGCATGATAGTCCCTATTATTTATTGACCACAGGTGGCCGCAAAGACTCAGTTAGCAGCTTTGAGGTAGCCCAAAGGTCATTCCAGCCGCAACTTAACCTACTGGAGACCGACTTCACCTTTTGTTCTAAAGATGTGAATTCTCCATAATTGACACTCAAATTCAGTTATAGTAACTCTAAAATCTTTTTAATATCAATAATATAAAATCGTACAAGGACAAATAGACCTCAAGAAAGTATGTCCTAAAAACTATCCTAACCTATGGATTTTCACACGTTAAAATTTTCTTATTTGATACACCATTTTTATCGTAAAATATGAACCGGATATACGGAGTTGTCATTTATAAAGATGAGCGTTCCCTTCCCGCTAAGATGTCCGTCCGGGTGCTGGGCAGCAGTCCAGTAGTGCATCTCGTGTCGTATCGATGATGGAGGCAGAATAATACAGGTTGTATGGTATTTTAATCCATGGGTGTAGCAGTAATAGTCAGTATACGTGGTAGAGCCACGCTGCAGCTATATGGTTGTAGCACGAATGAGTCGGCACGACCGGGGAAGGACCACGCTCTCACAGAATACCAGCGTAAAATAGCAACTTAATACTGCTGTGTTTCGTACGGTGAGTGTAGAGAACTGGAGACTCCTTTTTACTGGTAACGAGGCATTCCATCTTGGTCCTCACGGGTGACAACGCGTCTGCGTTTTGATTCCTAATCGAGGATAAATGCAGATGTCTATGGACCACATAGGTACCATCACGTGGATTGTGTGCTCATTTGTAACTTTTATTCTATAAAGAAAAAAAAAACTATAATCCATCTGTGGGGCCGCTTACTACCACGTGAACTACACGCTTTCACTCACATAATATTATTAGAGATAATTGAAAGTTTATAAATCAACTTTACTTGTTAAATAACTTGTTAATGTTGATAATCGATTATTTTTAGAATCGATATCTTTATAATCATATATTGTTAAAACAAAAGGATAAATTAAAACACGTTACTTAATATGAACATATTAAGATATGACCTAGAATATAGTTTTTGAGAATTTGGATAATGAATTAATATTATTATTATAAAATAATAAATTATAAATAACTTTAGTTACTTATTAATCAATTAGTCAAACACCAACGTTAACAAAATTTGATAATAAAAATATTAATTAATTTGCAACCTTGATAACATGGCAATAACTAATCAATAAATTTAAACAAAACAAAACGTTATTTTGACAGTAACTTAAACCGACATCTAAATCTTACTTTGTTTACAAAAAACATTTTCGCTACAAAGATAACGTTCCGATTGACACGTGTTTGTACATAAAATCACGCAAAATATAAAAGCACTTGAGAGTCATATGGCAACACCGACAAACCTGCGATCAGAGCCATGTTCTGCAGCCAGGAGGCCGGCAGAGGTAATGCGTCCATGTCCTTGTTGGCTGCAGGAAGAGGTTGGAGAACAGGAGCTGTCGGTCAGAGGTCGCGACGCGCACTGACCGAGGCGCGCGTCATTCGTTTGGTCTCTTATCGGCTCTGATTCAGTAGGACCTCTATTGTTGCGATATGCCTCAAGTCATGTGCTTTTGAATAGACATGCTTTAATACCGATTTGTATATCGACTTCCAACTATTGGTCAACCTGTCGTGTTAGTTCAATAAAAGTAAAAAAAGTAATAATATACATAATTAAATATGATAGAAACGTATGTTAATGAAGTATGGAACGTAAGTATGTCTTTCAATTCGATTAAAACATGGGCGTCTTTAAAGCAAGAGTTGTTAACGTATTGTTACTAGATGCTAGGAATCTGTCCGAGTAGGAATCATTTTTTCCCTATTTCTGCCGCTTGCCATGTGTTTTTTTTATAGAATATGGGCGACAAAAGAGCACACAGTCCACTTGATACTAAGTGGATACTGGCCCAGAGACATGTACATCTATCCTTGATTACGAATCAAAATGCAGATGTGTTGTCACCCCTGAGGACTAAGATAGAATACCCCGTTACCAGTAAAAAGGGTTTCCAGTTCTCTACACTCACCATACGAAACATAGCAGCATTAGGCTTTCTGTGAGATCGTGGTCCTTCCTCGGTCATGTCCAGCCTTTCGTGTTAAATTAATTCGAGATTGAGTGTTCCACAAAAAATCGCTGTCGCTTACAATATACTTAATTAGATCCGATTCCCCATAACAGATGGAACAAAAACAAGGCGTTTATCCTCCTGAAGGGGAAATATATCTTTCTGGGAATAACGCAACGATACTGAATCATCTGCTATTTGTCTGCGGTTTGACAATGAAGACAGCGTAGCAAAATTTAACTATGTCACGCGTCATTAATTCGATTATTAACTAAGGGAGCTATCTACAATATTAAGTAGTACAACCTGTCGGTGGAGGTGTAATGTACCAATATGCCCTTTTCTATAGAATAAGAGTTTTGGATACTGCAGCTCATAGATATCTATATCAATCCTCGATAAAGTATCAAAATGCTAATAGCTGCGTGGCTGAGGACTAAGAGAGAGTGCCTCGTATCCAGTTTCCGGTTTACTATTTTACGATGACAATCTGTGCGAGTGTGATCTTTTCCCATTTGAGCTTACCAATAGGCGTAAATAGGCGTACCAAATAGTATTTTGTAAAAGTCACTTTTGAATTTTTAGACTTGAGACTACATTAGGAAGCGTCCTCTATAAAAGTTTGTCTGTTTACTTTTCTATCTGTGTGATTTGATCAATTAACTTCAAATTAACACGTTGCTCAAATATCAATCAATTCAAATCAATTCTGATGTTTTGCATAATCGACAAGCAATGTATTCAATTTGCAGTTGAAAGAAATAAAATCGTAACAAGCCAGTCATTTTTATCAGTTTGTTTAGTTGGTAGAGCCACGCTGTAGCTATATTAAGGTTGTAGCTCGAATGGGTCGGCTCGACCGGAATTGGACCACGTTCTCACAGAATACCATCGTGTAATTGCAGCTTGATGCTGCTGTGTTTCGTATAGTGCATATAGAGAACCGGTGACCCTTTTTACTGGAAACGAGGCATTCCATCTTAGTCCTCAGAGGTGATAAGGCATCTGCATTTTGATTCTTAATTTAGGTTAAATACAATACAATACAATACAATACTCTTTATTGTAACAACAAAAATTAATAAAAATAAAAGAATAATGAGGGTAAACAAAAGGCGGTCTTATTGCTACATAGCAATCTCTTCCAGACAACCCAGAAGAGGAAATAAATAAAAATAAAAATAATGTTAAATATAGATGTATGCGGGTTACAGCATCCACTTGCTATCAGGTGGACTGTATGCTCGTTTGTCAGCCTTATTCTATACGAGGAATCATACCGTATGAGTCGTGGTGCGCGGCGTGGTGGTGGTGCCAGACGTTCTGGTGGGGAGCGAAGTGCGCGTACTGCTGTAGCCGGCCGCCGCCCACGTAGCCCAGCCCGTAGCCCTCGCCACCCTCGCCGTAGCCGCCGCCCGCGCTCCCGGTGCCGCCAAACATCGTAGTGCCCTCACTGCTGCATTGCACGCTCTCACAACATCTGGAAGTAATTACATTCTGTTATGAAGCGAATAGAACAGAACGCGATTACAGAAATAGAAACAGAAAGCGATTAGCTCCTGCTTCGCCTGGTATAGGACAGCCGGCCTGCTTATTATCAACCATGTGATCATTTATATTATAATAACCCTTTTTATTTAACGTTATACATTGTCCCATAATTTGAATTACTAACTGTGTGGAATCGAGTACCTGGTATAACTAGCTTCTGTTTGTTTCTAGTGTTTACAGAGTGTATGTCACTTTTATTAATTTTTTATACTTTTTAATCACGATGTCCTCCTGGCCAAATGGTACGTCGACGACCTCTAGTAGTGATGAAATTACCTCAAGCACACTCGGTTTTTTATTCTAGTAAGAATGTAAAACAACCAGATAACTTACCTGATGGTACGGTACGATAAAATTTAAAAATGATTAAGAGTTAAGTGTTAAAATCGCGATGTAATTAATACTATCTGATTTCAAGAGTTTTTTACTATTAGAATTATTATATTCAATACTTAAATTAATATTTGGTAACATGAGGCCATATTTATTTCCGAGGTATGAGCTTTAGCTGAAGCCATTAAAAATATCCGCCTCAGTGGCACTGTCGCAACATGAATGAAGCTGGTATATAGTCGAGCTTGGTTCATCTTCTGAAGCCATTAAAAATATCCGCCTCAGTGGCACTGTCGCAACATGAATGAAGCTGGTATATAGTCGAGCTTGGTTCATCTTCTGAAGCCATTAAAAATATCCGCCTCAGTGGCACTGTCGCAACATGAATGAAGCTGGTATATAGTCGAGCTTGGTTCATCTTCTGAAGCCATTAAAAATATCCGCCTCAGTGGCACTGTCGCAACATGAATGAAGCTGGTATATAGTCGAGCTTGGTTCATCTTCTGAAGCCATTAAAAATATCCGCCTCAGTGGCACTGTCGCAACATGAATGAAGCTGGTATATAGTCGAGCTTGGTTCATCTTCTGAAGCCATTAAAAATATCCGCCTCAGTGGCACTGTCGCAACATGAATGAAGCTGGTATATAGTCGAGCTTGGTTCATCTTCTGAAGCCATTAAAAATATCCGCCTCAGTGGCACTGTCGCAACATGAATGAAGCTGGTATATAGTCGAGCTTGGTTCATCTTCTGAAGCCATTAAAAATATCCGCCTCAGTGGCACTGTCGCAACATGAATGAAGCTGGTATATAGTCGAGCTTGGTTCATCTTCTGAAGCCATTAAAAATATCCGCCTCAGTGGCACTGTCGCAACATGAATGAAGCTGGTATATAGTCGAGCTTGGTTCATCTTCTGAAGCCATTAAAAATATCCGCCTCAGTGGCACTGTCGCAACATGAATGAAGCTGGTATATAGGCGAGCTTGGTTCATCTTCTGAAGCCATTAAAAATATCCGCCTCAGTGGCACTGTCGCAACATGAATGAAGCTGGTATATAGGCGAGCTTGGTTCATCTTCTGAAGCCATTAAAAATATCCGCCTCAGTGGCACTGTCGCAACATGAATGAAGCTGGTATATAGTCGAGCTTGGTTCATCTTCTGAAGCCATTAAAAATATCCGCCTCAGTGGCACTGTCGCAACATGAATGAAGCTGGTATATAGTCGAGCTTGGTTCATCTTCTGAAGCCATTAAAAATATCCGCCTCAGTGGCACTGTCGCAACATGAATGAAGCTGGTATAGTAGTCGAGCTTGGTTCATCTTCTGAAGCCATTAAAAATATCCGCCTCAGTGGCACTGTCGCAACATGAATGAAGCTGGTATATAGTCGAGCTTGGTTCATCTTCTTTTTTATGGAGGACGAGGCAAATGCGTACACGGCCCATCTGGCTTATCGTATGTTACTTATTGGACAAGTGTAAGGTTTTACATGGTAGAGCCACGCTGCAGCTATATAATGGCTCGACCGGGGCAGGATCACACTCTCACAGAATACCAGCGTAAAATGGCATCTCGACGCAGGTCTGTTTCGTATGGTGAGTGTAGAGCATCAGCGACAGTTTTTATATATAGATATAGCGTATCATAGATGTTTATTGCCCACAGCGCCCACTTACTATAACTGTGTACTCGCTTGTCACCCTTTTAAAATGTAAATGCTTCTGTTTTTGCGTATATTTCTTATTCTTTGATTTAATACTGTTCATTACGAGTATATTGTTAAGCTTCCGCAAGACTGCCTCACGGGCGGAATACTTGCAGCTGCAGCTCTTATCATATGGCTTTGCAACAGCATTTTTTATCAAGAAGAGGCTTCGTCTGTTTCAGCAGCTCCTCATGACTCCCACGGGATAACATGCGCTAGCAGATATTCTTATTCCGCATCTACACGGTACTTAGCTATATTAATTTCTGTTACGTATGTGTATAAGTATTAACATAGTAACTTCTATATCATAATAGTTTCTGTAACGATCAGGAATATCACAGTGATCACAATAGAAGAGGTGCGTATACCGATTTGTATTTACTATTCAGATTCGGCCGTAATCCATGTTCGAAAAACCGTGGAAGCTCAAGGGCTAAACGCCCGCTGTAAATTTTGCTGTAGGCGAGCAATTTAAGTTCGATCCCGGCCGGCATTAATGAAATTATCAATTGCAATTTTAAGTACTGATTTACCACCTGCTCGTTGAAGGTAATCTTTGATCTCCGAAAACTCTAAAACTCTCTCAGATTTGAGGCTTTACTATTAGAAAATTACGATGCAATTAAAATTTTGCATTATAATTGTGACACTAACTATTGGATTTGAAGCATACATCAAATGTTATTATATTTATTGATCGATTTGCGGTTAGTATAGAGTTGAGTGATTACGACTTCCAAATAAGTCATACAAATGCGGTTAAATATAACTAAATGACGCGTCTTGATGAGTTAACGTGCTGATACAAGCTGTACCTACAGATAAACGTTGCAGTCGCTAAACAAAATTAGACCTTTGTTTTATCGATGAGGCACGTGCAAATAATACAGTTCGTTAATTTATGCGTAGAGATATTGAATTCGAATGTATTTTTTAAATTGTACTGGAATGCAAACAGTACTCGTAATATTATTGAAAACGATGTCAATAAAATCATATCAACACCAGAAGAAGATATTAAATCATGTCCTTGATGTATGTTTCTTACAACATCCACAGGACGTGTTTTTTTATAGTATCACGGTGACAGACGAGCACACAGTCCTCCTGATGGCAAGTGGATACTGTGGTCCGTAGAAATCTGCATTCACTTGGCATTAACCCTCGATTAAGAATCAGTATGCAATACAGATGCGTTGTCACCCTTGAGGAGTAAGATGGAATGCCTCGTATCCAGTAAAAAGGGTCTTCAGTTTTCTACACTCACCATATGGACCTCACAGAATACCACAGTAAAATAGCAACTTAATGCTGCTGTGTTTCGTATGGTGAGTATTGAGAACTGGAGGCCATATTAACTGGAAATGAGGCATTCTATCGTAGTCCTTAGGGATGACAAGTGACAACGCATCTGAGTTTTGATTTTTAATCGAGGATAGATGTAGATGTCTATGGGCCACGGCATCCACCATAGATAATATTTCTATAGCATCCACTTACTATCAGGTGGACTGTGTGCTTGTTTACTTATTCTATAAAACATTGTTCGACAAAAATGTAGATCGTACGTTAGTGTTACAATTATAAAGAGCGCTATAACATTCGTATGTGGACCGTCTGATAAAGAATACAATAAACAGACAGTGCATTATGGTCGTGCACTTGGCGTAATGGACTATCTCCAAGTCGAGCGAACGCCGCGTTTTGGCGTCTTGAGCGCACACTTGGCAAATCAAAGGCCGATTGTGCACTCGCCTATCGCGGCTAGAGATATCCTGCGCAGGACATGATAGGGCACGCATGTTGGACATACGTCAGACTTGCGTAAGTAATTCTTATTGCTTTTGATTTAAGATCTAGTTTTCTATGGTGATGAGTTAAGGCGCTAAAAAAAGTTGTTTCTGAAGGCTTTTGCCATAGTGACTCAGTTACCTAATACCGTGCATCGGTTGCGACAAGTGAGTACGATTAGCGATTGACAAATAAATGTAATTGTTTGGATTACGTACAATATGGGTCGTTGTTACACTGTGTTGTTGCGTACCGTTTGATTTTGATAAAAACATATTTTATAACTTGAAGCCGTAATAATGTTGATTTATTTTCTTAATTACATAGTGTAGTGTAACCCCACGTAAATATATTAGAGGAGCAATCAGCAAACTGTCCACTTGTAAAGTTTTAAGTTTTTTTTTCTACTACAGACCATGCACTTGAATTTTTTTTATAGAATAAAGGTGACAAAAGACTTCCACCATATGATAAATCGATACTGTGGCCCATAAACATACATTTACTCTCGATTAAGAATAAAAATGCAGATGATGTGTTGTCACCGCTGAGAACTAAGATGGAGTGCCTCGTATCCACTAAAAAGGGTGTCCGGTTCTCTACACTTACCACACGAAGAAACACAAGCAGTATCGAGCTGCTATTTTATGCTGGAGTTCTGTGAGAGCGTGTTCCTTCCCCGGTGGAGCTCACCTGTTCGTGCTTCAACCATAATATAGCTAACATCATGACTATACCACGTACAATATGGTTATATATGTTTACACCTTTTCAGAAATCATTAAGTATCGAACATTCGCAAACGTTCCACTTCATCGTGGACCCTCTGTCCCAGCCCTATAAATTACTATAGGCGTCGATGTCCCGACCTCGGTATTTTTTTGCCCTCATAAATCCGTCTTTTTAGCGGCGACACTAATAGCAACAAATTTAGTTGCCACATGCGTCCGTAAAATAACACTGCGCCGAAAATAGCTGCGCAATAAATATCGCAGTTGACGAATATTCTTATTAATATTATGAATGTGAAAGTTTGTCCGTTTGGATGTTTGTAATTCAGTCATACGTGGTAACGCCACTTATGACTGAATGTACTGTACTGTATTGTATATTATGGTTGTAGCACGAATGGGTCAGCTCGACCGGGGAAGGACCACGCTCTCACGGACCAAAAAAAGCGTAATATAGCAGTTTAACGCTGCTGTGTTTCGTATGGACAGTGTAGAGGACCGGAGACCCTTTTTACTAGAAAAGAGGCATTCCATCTTAGTCCTCAGGGTTAATAACGCATCTGTATTTTGATTCTTAATCGAGGATAAACGTGGATATCTATGGGCTACAGCATCCACTTACCATCAGGTGGACTATATGCTTGTGTGACTTTTTTATTTTACAAAAAAAAGTAAGTATAGCGGTATAACCGCATTATTTTCCGCCAAGCGTAAAAATCCCAGACTGGTGATGTGGATTAGCGTCAAAGGTGTGTCTGGTACTGCGGTTATATCCGCCTGTAGTGTGACGACCAAGGCATATCCAGCAGTAGACTTCTATAGGCTAATAAAGACATTTACTCATGGAAAAAGACGTAGGATACTTTCTATTGATCATATACAAGGGTCCAGCAAAGTGAGCGAGTAACAGCCTCATAAGTGCAAGTGGCGAGGTATTTATGAACGATACTCTGCTCTTAGTGCCAATTTAATCAACAACGTAAAGCGAATTTTAAAAAAAAAGTAATCGTACAAAACGACACG